CGATCTTGCAATTTCAGTGCCGTTTGAAGAGTTGTTTGTCCCCGAGGGTGAAGAGATTTTCCCGATGCGCGCCGCTTTCGAGCGTGCGGTCTTGGGATTCACTGAACCTAAGTTTCCGGACATTAAGGGTTTAGAAGTGCCGTTCAGCCCACTTGGCCCGGACTCTACACCAGCAAAGCGGCACGAGTATATCACTCTTGATCGTATAATAAAATACGGGATAACCCCGGGATGCAAGGCTTGCAAAGGCGAAGCTGTGGTTCATTCTCCACTGTGCAAGGTTCGCTTTGATGGGTTAGTGCGTGCCGACAAAACCGCCGAGGCCCGCATCAAATCGGTATTTCCGACACCAGTCAGTATTCCTCCAACGCCAGTTCCTCCTCCTGCACCTCTTAGTCCCGATCCTCCAACAAAGATAGCGCCCGATGCTGCAGATGATGCGCCCTCTCATCCGGACGAGGATTCCGACGACTTTGGTGGAGGGTTAGGAGCGTTGGTAAATCAGGAGTTGTTCGTTCCAGACGTTAGCTTCTTAGCCCGAGATCGCCAGATCCGTAGGTCAAAGGCTTCGAGTACAAACCAACTTGTCGAGTACTGCTGTAGCGACTCCTCCGAGATTGGTTTTGCCTGCACAATGTACGGGGTTGATTGTCTTAACATAGGATCGTCAACGATAGACTTCTCAGACCCAGCTCATGTTGATCAGGCCAAAGGTCAGATAAAGCAAGGCGCTGTGATCTGGATGCCTATGTCATGCCTTGAACAAACGGCACAACAACACCCAACTGTGCATGAGCATAGGGCGAGTAGGAAAGCACAGCTCAGAAAGAGCCGGGCGAAGGTTCGCCAAATGCTGAAACTCGCAATCTCGTTAGCCGAAGAAAAGCTTCCCAACGGCTGCCATGTTGCAGTCGACTGCCCTGAAGGGGGTTGGCTCTGGAACGAATCTGATTGGGTTGAGTTCGAGAAGCGTGCGAACTTGAAAAGAGTCATGCTCCGCGGATGTTCCCCTGGTAAGCGGTCATGCATCAGCACCTCTTCCCTTCGAGTGCTCCAACTGTTTGGACAACACGCGCACAGCGATTCAACTTCACAACGTGTTTCAAAAGGAGACGAATCCTATGCCAATAGCGACTGCAACGCACAAGTCGCCCAGCTGATAGTCGAGTCATTCTTCCCCGAGCATTTCCATCGCCACACACCTTCGTTGTCATCAAGTAACGCGTTAGTAACACGCAATCTTGCTAAGAGCGAATGGTTGAAAGATGCTCGAGGTTTAGAGGCTGTTCAGGCTGAGGGTGTAGGACTCCGATCAAACCAGACATGGAGCGATGATTCCGTAATGCATTTGTGGCAACTGAAACAGGATTGCCGTAAGACTGGACGCCGAGTCCAAATCGCCGAGCTTCTGACGCTTTGTGGTGTAAAACACTTTGAGTTGCACCCAACACAGCACAAGTACAAAGGCCGTGTAGTCTTTAGGGGGGACCAAGTGCGCGACGCTTCTGGTAACCCAGTGCTGTTCGGCTCAGAAGAAACTGCGACTACACCAACCGGGTTGGTAGGTCTTGCCGCTTGCCTCTTTTACGGGCTCCGCCCCGGTCACGCGACCTCTGTGGCAGATGCTATCCAAGCATACTTGCAAGCGAAGATCGGTCGAGAGACCTGGGTAATAATCCCTCGGGAGCTCTGGCTCCCCGAGTGGACCCAGAGGTTCCCTCCCGACAGCCGTCTTGTAGTTAAACTTGAGAAAAGCTTATACGGGCACCCAGAATCGGGTAAGAGATGGCAAGACCACTTGACCGTCCAGTTGAAAAGGCTCGGAGGTCGCGAACTTCCCGCCTACCCGAGCACGTGGGTTTTCGAGTTCGGTTCCCAGAAGTTAGTGCTTAATGTTTACGTCGACGACTTAACATTAAGCGGCCCCGTAGAGCTTCATTCCCAGTTCTGGCATAAGCTCCGTGGTCTAGTGAAACTTGAACCAGAAGTCTTTGTTCAAGGCGGCAATAATGGTTGTAGGATTCTAGGGCGGCATCACAGCTTCACACGTGATGACTCCGTAGCCACTTGTGAATTTGACATGATTGCCTACACGCAGCAACTTGTTGATTTCTATTGTGAAATGACCGGTGTAGAGAAAAGTAAACTTCGCAAGGTAGCTTCACCTGCTTTCCCCGAGAACCAAGCAACTGACAGCGAACTTAGCAGCACCGGTGAGTTACACGGATCCGCCTCCCGCATCCTGATGCGAGCCCTCTGGCTCAGCAGGCTTGCTCGCCCAGACATCTCGTTCATAATCACGAGGTTAGCTTCTAAAGTGAGTCGATGGGATAGATTCGACGACCGTCAACTTCTCCGTTGTATGTCGTATCTCCATCACTCAAGTCGTGTGACTTTAAAAGGGTCTGTTTCGCAACAGGACTTAGGTTGCCAGATAGAGGTGTACACAGACGCAGACTTTGCTTCTTGCCCTCTGTCGGCGAAAAGCACGACTGGAATCCTCGTCGTTGCAAAGACCGGAGACTGCGCGTATCCGCTTCACTGGGTATCGCGTAAGCAGTCCTCAACGGCTCGGCCCACGACCGAGGCCGAAACGATCTCTCTCGCGACCGCCATGTTCTCAGAGGTAGAAAACCTTCAAGAGTATCTAGGCGATATCCTTGGGTTCGAGATCCCGGTGTTTTATAGGCAAGACAATAATACCGTGATTTCTATTCTTAAGGCGGGCTATTCCGCTAAACTCCGCCACATGCCTAGGGTGCACAGGGTCAACGTAGCGTCTATCTGTGAAAGACTCGCAGAGCCGCACGTCGAGATAACCTTTTGCCCTACGACGGAGCAACGAGCGAATGGATTCACGAAAGTGATCAGCCCCCAAGAGTGGCCATCCATGCTGGAACAGCTTTGCCTGTCTGAGGGCCCCGCAAATGCCCCTATACCTGCTGCTCCATCACAGAACTTCGTTCCTGAAGATCCTCTTGCAGATTCTGATCCGGAGTCTGTTGCCGGCATCCTGCCACACAGACTGACGGAAAGTCACATTCTGCAACTGTTCCACCTTCTTCCTTCAGATGCTTCGTCTCGTCCAGTCGTCTCTTCCGAGGGTAAGGGATTTACAACTGGAGCGTATGCACATGGAGGTGGCATAGTAGGGTTAAGGAGCAATACTTCTAAGTTCAGGGGGGGTAACGCATGTCCTCACAAGGTTCGTTCGGCAACAGGCCAAGAACCTAACCTTCACTGCGGTAGCGATCTACCAAGGCTGTCAGTTTGACCTGCACACTGACAAGTACAACGATCCGGGATCGTACAACTTCGTCTACTCGCTAACCAAGGTAAAGGGTGGTCAGATATGGGTCCAGGATCCACTTGGTGATCAGCAATGCCCACAGCGTGATTGCAATAGCCCAGGTCGCATCAAAGAACTGCCTGCACTCTTCCAGCCGTCTGTTAGACACTGCACAGTACCGTGGGAAGGGCCACTTCAGTCCCGTGTTGTGCTAGTCGCGTTTACGCCTCGAGCACCAGCCGCACTGAAACCGTCTGAAGCGCAGTTGTTAGACGAGTTAGGTTTCCGAGTGCCGCGCAGTAGAACTAGTTTCCTGTAAGTAACTGTTTCACGCTGTCTACAAGGGGGGAGTTGAGAAATCACGAGCCCCCAGGCCCTTCTTATGTAGATCATCATGAAGCAGTTTCACTCGAAGACGTTATCACCGATATTTTGGCTCAAGACACAAAAGAAGCGTTATCATCACTGTGTCTTGGAATCAGAGATTGCCCTGCAATTAACTATGATGACGATGATCCATGACGTCGCGATGACACGTCGCAGTGCAAGCTGCCCGACGCAGCCACCGGTTCAACGAGGTCAAGCAACCTCGCTCTCAGTCAACCACCGTCCGTCCGTGTGCAGCTGGCGTTGAGTTGGCCGCACTTCTCGGTTCCTATGTTGAGACTTGATCATAATACACATCATCTGCGGACACACACACAAGCTTGACATAAAGCTGCGCAAAATCCTGGTTTGAGGTGCGGAATGATCTATACCACAGCGAAGGACCAAAAAGATCAACCGCCAAGATGTCAATAGTGGCGCTCGACAGGTTGCCGGCGAGGTTTTGCAACTGTAGTTCTTGAGGCTTTATCAATGAGATGCGACGCACACGCTACACCGTGCTTGCCGATGTTTGCAGCACTTCCACCAGAAGACTCTCGCGAACATCTCGAAAGCAAATTGCCTGACCCTTCGGGCTGGCGAAAGTTCAAGTGCGCAGAGAGCTTGCTGCTCTAGTTTGAGCAGAAGATTCTCTTTGCATATGGACAGATATCATCGAAGTATCCACTTGTCGAAGACACGCGGAGGGAGAGGCCAGAGACTCGTAGACATCCGAAAGTCTGATTGCGATTTGGGGCGCACAGTGGTCGCAGCTGCTTGTGAGGTACTCGTGCCCTCAGTTCCTGCGCGAGATTCAGCGGCGGTTGGAGGACGAGGCCTCCCTGCAAACCGCTGACTCTTCGTCTGTTTGTTACAAAACCTATCTCAATCCACTGAAGGAGAGTCGGCTCAGCCGATATCTCGACCCGTCATCCGAGAAGGACGACTTTTCAAGATTCGTCAAGCTCCCTTGTTGGGGTAGGTGTTCCCCGAAAACCTTCCCTGATCTGAGTACAATACAATCATCTGACTCTGATAAGCTCCCCCTCCAGTGTCTGCCGAGCTGTTGCTGTTCGATTCTCAACTCGAGAATTGTCCGTCTGATTCGGCTTAAGCACAGTCGGCGGGACATAGACATGCTCTCCCTGCCAATGAGGACTTCAGATCTAGGACTCTGTCCCGCAAACCCTATGGTGCCGCTGACTGCATGGTACATGATCCGCTGAGGCTTCAGCCAAAATCTAGCTGCAACAGAGTCAGCTCATGCGAACCGGCAAGGCTTTCTATTTTCTATGGTCTGAGCTAACTCTTACATGAAAAAATGTAGTGTTTACTGCTCCCTGCCATGGAGTGCCGCTGCTTCGAAGGGCTCTTCAGTGCCTCTCGGCTTTACGAAGCTCTCAGAGTCAAAGTCGCTGAGTTCAAGACATCGGTCCCTGTCAGGAATCACCGCAGGAGCTGACTGCCCTTCAACGCGGCATAGGCCGCTCAGTGTGCTCTGTCAGTGCTCTCAGTCTCGGAAGAAAGGAGGCAGGAGGCAGAAGAGTCGACGTCGTCATATGTGCAGCGCCGAGCGCCAGGCCCTGGCATCCATGCGGCGTTGGAAGGCGCAAATTCCTACAATTCCTCGAACTTCTGGCTGCTGCGGCAAGGGTGACCACGTAGGGTGACTCGCCTGGCTTCTGGTGAGAGGCTGGGTGTGCTTGGTGACCTCCAGTGCCCCGCGAAAATCCAGAGAGGCAGTTCGGTGAGATTGACTTCTTACAAGAAATCTGCTTTGCAGAGAACCGGGCAGGTTTATGCAAGGCTCACTGCAGATGCTCTTGGCTTCTACAAGGCCTTGTTATCGTGTTCGAGAGGGAGCAATAGACCGCGAAGACTGCGAAACGGGCAATGGTGTCCGAGGACAAGCCGCAGATGGTCTACGACCCGCCGCAATCCCAGTTCCAAGACGGCTTGATCTTGGGGATGGAGTAATTAATACTGTGATCGTCATGCACTCATATCGCAATTTGTTCAAGCTTCAACACCTCCAGGTGCGAGGATCTAAGCACGTGTATAACGGAATGTCCTGCCTAAAGTCCCTAATAAGCATGCGAAGCCAGAAGTTGCTTCGCACGTCGAAACTGCATATCAATTGAGTCATACGATTGGAAACTGTTGAACACTGGTAGTGTCCACCGACCAGTTGCGGAGTTTTTGGACATGATGTTGGAGGCTATGAACGAGCTTCCGCCCAATGTCATGTCATCGTGCTTCTGTGCTTCCGCATCATGCCACAAGATTGCACCGCTGTATCGGTGTGGCTTGGATGGCAGCTCGACTTCACCTGCTGCACAAAATCGGACTGCACCACGACAGGCTGTCAAGTCCGGCTTGTCCGGTGCAGTTGTTGGTGACAGGGAAGCTATTACGGCTTTCCTCTACATTCCGTCGTTGCCTAGACCGCCGCCGTGTCTCCCGTTTTGGCCCGTCGGCGAGTGCCACTGTCTTTGGCCCGTGCGCTTGACTCAGCCACTCGGCCCGACATCGCAGCCATTGTTGGTTCGTGCCGTTCGCGCCGTTCCCGCGTGTTGGGCAGAAGGTGCTATCAAGTCCGACCTTGTACGCAGGCGTTTGTTTGTTTTTCCGCAGTGCAGGTGCATTTGGGTTCAGTTGGCTGATTCCGCATCTCCGACCATCCCTCTCTGTCGCTTTCTTCACTAACCCGACTTTCGATCACGTGGCTTTCTTCACTAACCTCTCGGCCTGTCAGGTTTGGTTTAGGAGTTTCGTCCGGTCTCGCGCCAGCCGCCAGCCTTCGCCAACCACTTTCGCCAACCTTTCTCTCGGTTTTTCAAGGCCGAGCTACCGTGGCGCCAGCGCCTGGCTGGCGGCAGCGCCTGGCGGCCCTGGCGGCGCTCCCGACAGGCGACGCACGCTTGGGGCATTCCGGTGGCCTTCCGATGGCCAAGAGCCTGTGAGTCGTCCTCCGATTGCTACTCAGGGACGTCTGCGTGTTACCACTTCGTGAGATCTCGTTTGGGTGGCTCATACTTGGGCGGACCACCGCTAAAGTTGCTAAAGGATCAGTCGCATCGTTTTTCTCCCGTCCTCATGGTCTCACTTCCTGTGCTAAGCTGCTAACCCGACCAGCGGACTCTTCGGCAAGGATGCAACAGCAGCCATTGCCGGAGTGTGCGCACGGCGTAGTAATGCGGGGCGAAGAACCAGTCGGACATAGTCGGACCGAAGAAACCTGGCCTTCTTGAGAAGACGATCGTCGAGTTGCAGCCTTTCTACCTGGATCGGGCGTGAGAAGCACTGGAGTGCAGAGCTGTCCCACAGAGCACTTTCGCAGCATCCCTTGATCATTCTCGCCGAACCGAAGTCACTCAAGGGCGACGCAAAAGCAGCTCCTAACCAGCAAATGGCATGGCGATGGCACAGACTTGCGCAGGGCGCAATGGTTGGTCGGTTGCTTGGCTGTGGCAGCATGGTGGCTGACGACGAAGAAGAAGACCTGTGCGTGTGTGTGTGTGTGTGTGTGTGTGTGTGTGTGATTTCATGTAGTCTTGTGCCTGCACACGCGTTTTTGAGCTGTTGATGGTTACTAGTTACTATGTCTTTCTATTTAATCCATGCGCATTTGCTTTAGCTTCCTGCGACAAGGGTGCAGATCGCCACGGCCGTCGAGGGCATAGCCAGCCCGAGCGATGGCATCGCGCCCGAGGAAGCGCCGGCCTCAGTCGATGGTTTTCGTGTCGGGTTGGCAATGCTTTAAGTTTCCATGATGTCACCATGAACAATGAGTCGAGACATTCTCGTGATGGTCTTTACGGGATTGGGAAGGTGCAACCTGCACAATGGTTGTGATGCACGACTGGCTTCCCTTGCGGACCGGGATCGCTTGGTTTCCTCGTCTCTCGCCCAACTTGTTGTTACTGGTGTTTATATTAGGTGGCATCTAACTAACCAGTTCACCGTCTTCGTCGTCGATTATTGAAGATGTTCCAGGACGTGAACCCAAATCCCTTAGTTGATGCTGTGGTCGCCGGATCTAATGGTACAGAACATGGAGATCTGAAAGGCGTGGGCGGCTTTGAAGCCCCGACCTTAGGTGGTGGTGCCCGATTCGTAATGTGTAACAAGAGCACCTTCAGCAACACTAACTGTTTCTGTAGTGTGGCAACACTTGCTGCTGGTTTGCTACGGCTACTGAAGCTACTGCTACTAGTGCTACTGCGACGACGGCGACGACCCAAAAAGGGCGGGGTGGCGAATGATTGGAAGAACAAAAAACGAGCGGAATGCACACCATGCAACACGTTATGTGTGGAGAAGACCCTCGATGCAACAGTACCGCAGGTTGTGCTGCTGGCGCACATCGCCTCGGTCCTAGGCCCCAAGCAGTAGCACACAGTTTGCATCGTGAAGTAGCACCAGTGCCTGCAGCAGCAGCCGGTCAAGAACGAGGGTCACAAATCCATGAGGTCTGTCGATCATCGCTTCTGTTTTGGAAGTATTGGAAGTACGCACAGGAACATGCTACAGGACAAGCTACACGTTTCATAGCCATGAATGCAGGACGCAGCAACGATAGGATTTCAGAGCGAAAGCACGAATCATATGTACGGTTATCATGATTACCATTGCCTTCGGAATGGCAGCATCAGCGTTGGTAATCATACCACCGCCGCTGCCGCCACCACCACCACCACCACCACCACCACCGCCACCGCCGCCACCCCCACCACCCCCACCCCCACCACCACCACCGCCGCCACCGCCACCGCCACCACCACCACCACCACCACCACAACCACCACCACCACCACCACTCCCACCACCACCACTCCCACCGCTCCCACCACTCCCACCACCACCAGCACTCCCACCACTGCCACCACCACCACCACTGCCACCACCACCACCACTCCCACCACCACCACCACCACCCCACCACCACCACCACCACTCCCACCACCACCACCACCCCACCACCACCACTCCCACCACTCCCACTCACCACCACCACCACCCCACCACCACCACCACCACCACCACCACCACCACCACCACCACCACTCCCACCACCACCACTCCCACCACCACCACCACCACCACCACTACCACCACCACCACACACCACCACCACCACCACCACCACCACCACCACCACCACCACCACCACCACCACCACCATTCCCACCCCTATCACCACCAGTAGGGCCATCGCTAAAGCCAGCATCATTATGAAGCCAGGAGTGCAATGTTGTTGAACACGAAGCATGGAGCTCGGAGTCGGGCGTGGTGTGCTGCAGGCCGGTCCCAGGGCAGCCAGCACGTCCGCCTCTCCGACGGCCGGGGAAAGTGGCCGGGATCCCAGGAAGCAGAGGGAGTTTAGGAGAGAAGGACAGCGGGGCTGCACTTCGTTTGGCAAGGGGTCCTGGCTAGGTGTGAGTGAGGGAGGGAGTGCGAGAGTGACGGTGCAAAGTTCAAGTGTACACTCCACAACTATACTAGAGCGACCAAGATCAATCACTTTCCCCACAGTCGCACTCAAGCAGACATTCCTTTACGACGTCAACCCGATCTGTCCAGTCTTGAGCTAGTGCCATTCAGCCTGAACAGAGTTGATTGAGTGCCTTCTGCATATTGCAGGCCGCATCTCAACTGTCCCATTGCATTGCTCAAGCTAAAAGTAGTCATGGACATCAGTCATGGTGCCCTTGGTGCGGTAGGCTTGATCGTGGGACTGTGGATTCAACCGCAACGAGCGTCTCCTGAGGCTACCTGTGGGGGAAGGACTTGTCATTGTCATTGTGCCTGTCCCACTGAGATTCCTTCCGGGACACCTGTGGGAACCCTGACTCTGGGTCTTCTGCTAGCTGGCCTTTTGACTGCGAATCTGGCCCTGGTGCTGCGAGTGACGGTCAAGAGGACGGCTGCTGGTGACCAGGAGTGGACCGTGTCTGTCAAAGGGAAACCCGGAAAGGGAGTCTACGGCTCAGTGAAGGGACTCCAGATCACAGACAGCTGATTTAGATGGAGTTTGGAAGCCTTTGCTACGTGAGATACCACGGGGACCCCGGTGTTGTGCACACTCGTTTGCTTCTGGGTCAGGTGCGGGGGAGCGAATGGCTCATTTGCACGCCTGACCACGATATCTACGTGGAGCAAATGGATGCGGCAGCGCCAGCCGCGCCTCCGGTGGCGGCGGCTGCAGCGCCGGTTGTTGTGGCGGCTGTGGCCGCCGATGATGGGGCGCTGGTGCAGTTTGCTCCGCAGACCTTGTATTGGCTAGCCGCAGAAGACGGCGGGACATATTGCTACGGTGACGCCGTGCCTGGGGTCTTGGCCGCGGACGTGGAAGGGGCGCGTACTGTGCACCAGCTTCGGAGCTGTTTTGTCGATGCATCCGAGGTTCGGGAAGAGCAGCCTTTTTACGGTATCCGGCAAAGTGGGATCACCGAATCGTTCCGGTCACTTTGGATGCCCTTGGACGTCCCGAGTGCAGCCTGAAGGAGAAGTTGCCGAGAAGGGCGAAGAGATTCCGGTCCTTTGGACGCTGCCGGGACCAAGGACCTCCAAATGGTGCCTTGCCTATCTGACGGTGGAGGCCTTGGGACTGGAGGGGTATCATGAGCGCTTCCGTCAGCTGGTAAAGGCCGACAGCTCGAGTTGGGCATCTCCAACCACTTCCAGCTCTCCATGATGATCAAGGCCGCCTTGCAACAGGACCAGCTGGACGGGTACAACAACCTCTTCATCGAGATGATCTTCCGTCGGCTCCAGACCATCGAGTTCTCTTACGCCGAGAAGGCCCGGGAGATCGAGAGCAAACCAGCGGGGGGCCGACGGGCCGACTCAGCCTCGAGGAGCAGCAGACGTTCGGCGGGCTCACGCGGCAAGCAGGCACCCTCATGGTATGCCCGGACCTCCTCACCCATGTCAAAACAGAAGTTGAGCGTGACGCTGCATTGGCCAAAAATCTACGAAAAGCATGCACGTGAAGAGCGTGAGATGCTTCGTAGAAAGAAAGGCGGAAAGGGCGGCGAGGATGCCAACTAAGGACGAGTCGGGTGGCAGTTTCAGGCTCGCTGCTACCCGAAGCAGGCCAGAGCCTGTGGGTGATGATCGCACGGTCCCCCGCGAGATCTTTCCGCTGCCCTTGTTGAGTGGTGCTCGGCCGGTGACGGCAGGCTTTGCACGGTGCGCGCAAAGGCGGCACATGCACAGGTGGAGAGAGAGCGCTTGAGGAGACCAACCACACCATTGCAGCTTTGAATTTAATGTACGACGCGCCTTCGGGACGTGGGTATCTCTCGGCGGCACAGGCCGAGGCAATTGACTTCGTGAAGCAGTCGGTGCATGCCATGGGGAGGCCACCTTCAGACCTCTCTGGCTCGGGAGCGCTACGGCAGCTCCGCGCCTCGGGCGCATACGATGTGCAGGACCAGGACATCGTGGGTGTGCCCGCACCTTACAATCCCGAAGGTGTCTCCCTTCCTTCTCCGGGCTGGCGACCGATTAGTTTGGAGAAACTTTGGGGGCCCGACGGGCGCGACTGGGTGATTTCTATCGCTCGAAGCTTCTGCCTGAAAGTGAGGCTCGGATGCGTGTTCAGTCTTGTGGGGTTGAACATCCTTACTGGGACCCCTTGCTTAAGCACAGACCTACTTATGGTATCTTTCTCAGCCGGCTCTTCGCTTCAAACCTGGTTGACTTCGTGCTCGAGCCTTGTCGGGAGGAAGTCGCGGTATTCTTCGTGACCAAGAAGGGTGGCAAGTTGCGAATGATAGTGGACGCCAGGCGAAGCAATTGCGACTTTTGCGAACCAGGCTCGGTGCGTTTATGCGCCGGGCCGGGAGAGCCTGGCCAGGATTGAAGCTGTTCGGACTTCCTGGCAGCCCTGTGGGTCTCGTCGAGGGGCTCCTTATCCGGGGCGAAAAGCCGGGGCCTCATGTGAGAGTGTACCCCCGCCTCGCGGTGGTGCCCATGGGGTGGTCTTGGGCTCTGTGGATATGCCAGAATGTTCATGAGCGTCTGTTCGAGGCAGCTGGATTGCGGGATGGGGCCCGACTTCGTGAACGTTTGCCAGTTCCTGAGAGTGATTGCCTACATACCCAATACGTCGACAATCTGATTTGCATCGGTACGGACGAGCAGAAGGTGTTGCAGTCGTTCAAGGCCGCCGTGGATCAGCTTAAGGAGGCTGGTTTGCAAGTGCACGAAGGGGTCAAACGATGGCACCAAGGTCCTTGGGTGGGAGATCCACCCCGGCGGCCGTTTTGGGCCATCGCTCCATCGTGCATGGAAGGCGCGGCTGGCGCTACGTGAGTTGTTGCGTCGCGGACGCGTGACAAACAAGCAGATTGAAAGGCTTCTGGGCCATCGCGTCTTCATCTCGCTGGGCAGGCGGGAGAGTCTGTCCGTTTTCAGTGATATTTACCGGCACGTGCAGAAGCATCGCGACTGCACAGGTGAGAGGGCGATCCCGCGGGCAGTGCTTGAGGAGCTGGTGAAGTGGGATGGGATTTTGCCGCTTATGCACAGGAACCTCCGCGCCAAATGGAGTGACACTGTTCATGCTGTCCATGCCTCGGAGTGGGGATTGGGTTTTACTGTGGCCCCTTTCGCTACTGAAGAGGTTCGCAGACTAGGTCACTTCAATGAGCGATGGAGGTTCAAGGATGATAAGCTCGCTTCTCATCCTCGTGATCAGGCTTGGAGCGCTGCCGGGATTGAGAGCCACAGTAATGAGGGTCCGGAGCTCAAAGTCGAGGAGATGCTAGATGCCGCTGACCTAGAGCAGGGAGACTTCGAGCCAGTCAGCGGCAAGCTATCGTTGGAGGCGGAAGCTCACCTTGCCTGTGGCAGAGGCCCGCTCGGCGTTGCACACGGCAAAGCATGTCCTCCGCTCGGTTGGCAATAATGGCCTCAAGCATGTTGTTTTGAGCGACTCGATGACATCGGTTTGCGCCAGTTTCGCGCGGTAGGGCCCAAGCTTATGGGCTGCACGGAGTGTGCCAACATATCGGAGCACTGAGCCTCGCTACCGGGTCTGCCTTCGTTCTGCGGTGGATCCCATCGGAGTGGAACGCGGCAGATAATCCCTCTCGTGGACGGTGGTCCCCCTCGTTGCCTCGACGGATTCCTGAAAGAGGATGGCCTGAAGCTGCTGGAGATGATACATCGCAACATCGTGACGACTTGCGATTTAAATTGGATTCCGAAGCCGCGCAAGTGCGCAATTGTTGGATTGTGTCAACTGGTACACGTAAGAAATCCTGCTTCCAGTGTGCTTTGAAGCCAGGAAACGAAGGCAGAACGCGAGATTGGTCCTTGAACAGAATATGCAAGAAACGTGGGGCCATTTGCGTCGGAAGGCCCGAACGCAGGTCGAACACATCGGCAAGCTTATCGCAAACACCGAACAACGCAGCAAGCCAAGTCTCGTTTGCCCGCGCAACTCAGCAAGCAAAGAATTAACCTGCGCACGGTCAGCTCAGCGGCAACAGCGGAAAGCTGCACGCGCCGTCTAAGCGATTCAACCGTGATGGACTCATGTCTGTCATCACCAGCGACAGCACCGAACCCTTGCCTGCCAAACAAACGTCTGAGCAGCAGTCCACGTGCTCGCTCTACTGTGTGGCGCTCACTGCAACCCACGGGGCGAACCTCCAACGCAGCCAGCAGAGCTTCGTTCACCACAGCTTTGAAGATCAGCACTTTGCGGGCAACAGGAACGGTTCTGCGCTTGAACAGCTTCGAAAAGCGGGCAAAGCCGGACCTTGCAGCACCAATCCGTTTCTGCAGTTCCGCGTGCAAAGAGCCATTTGCTTGTAACTGCGCTCAAGGTATTTGACGCAAAGCTTAACAGGGTAGCCTTTCCATTTCCATTCACCACTGAAAGCACGCTTCGCGGCGTTTTAAGCACCCTGGCCTTTGCAAGACAACAGTGTTTCAACCTTCCTCGCATTCAACTTCAAGTTGCGGGGGTCAAGCTCAAGTGTGCGATCTTCAAGTTGTTTCAATGTGCTACCACATTGGGTGCGAACAAGGTCATCTGCGTAGGCAGCAGCGGTGAGCGAAAGGCTGTGACCGTTGTAACTAACTATCAGATCGTTGTCACGAGGGGCATCACGCCAACGTGTGATGCACGCATCGTAGACCATGCGAAATATGCGCGGGCCAGTTCCGCCGCCTTGCAACACACCTGACTCAAGCTTCAAGTGCAAGGTCGCACCATCATTTTGCTTCAAGCTGATGCGCAAGCGGCGATGCAAATCAAGAAGCAGCTCACGAACTGACACCGGCATCGGCTCAGTGTGGAGAAGATCTTCAATGCAGCTGAAAGCCAATGTGTCGAA